TTCTGTATTGCTCAGGCYGGTGTTTTGGGTGTAGATAGGGACTGGCTCTGCTCTCCCCCTTTGGGAGCTCTCTTTGCAGCTGCTATTGGCCCCTGCGTGACACACACAGGCAAGCAGTGCTCCTTTGAGTCCWCTGCCTCTATTCCTGCTGTGAGCTTTCTTTAAATGCTTTGCCATTGAGGACCATGGCTGAAAGCAGCAGCAGCAGCACCTACATCTCTAGGTCCTCATCTTGTCGAACGTGGACTTTGGGCTGTCAATACTGTTCAAATTACAGCAGGAGTGGTATTAGTAATACAAGTACCAGGGTTCAGAAATCCGTGCCCTGAAATGTCAGGACTTTGTGACATGCCTGGTTTTGAGGACTTGTAGTTCTTAGAAACAGACATGTGACCTATCAGATGATACTGTGATAGGGCAAAGGACAATGTTTTGGAGATCAGCTATCACCCTTTAGTACTTTTTGGTTAGAAATGCAGCATCTTAATTTTTTTTTTTTTTTTTGCTGCTGCTTGAATGCGTTCAGTGCTGCAGCAGCCTTTGTGGGGGCTGCCAGCATCCCAGCAGCTGCCGTGTTCCTGYTAGTGACTGCCAGATCCTTTGTACTGCTTTTCCTTTTCACCTGCCCTGTTTAGAAACAGGGAGATGTCTTATTAGGCTGTATCAGCYTCATATACATAAATGTTTCTGAATGGCATTGTCCTCCTTGGCATCCAGCTCAGCTACACTGATAGCTCATCTTTATTTAGAATCTAACATGTAAAATATCTTACTCAACTGATTTGCTTTTTCCTTTTACTTCATTCTTGCCTGCATGAGATGTTTCTTGTTCAGTAAACCCCCCTGGGGAAAACTGAGAGTGTTTAACATTTGACATTGCCTATAGATTTTTCTTGAGGTAAAGTCTCATTGGGAGAACACTTACCATCCTCACTACTTTCAAGCATTTTGGTTGAGTTTAAAATCTTTGAGCTGGAAGAACTTCTTAATTTAAGAGATTTTTTGAACTTAAGGTATTTGAGGAAAGTTTACATGAAATTGATAGTTTTGTCCTGCCTGTCCTCTGTACAGTGTCCTGTGTTGAACTGACAGCTCTCCTGAGTTGTCCACAGAAACTGCAAATGAGCTGTATGGGCTCAGTTTGACCTAACTGGTGACACGCTGGTTTCTACAAGCTCACCTACCTTCACTGTCCTTGCTACCTTCTCACTTTGTCCTTCTGCATCAATAGGTGACAAACTTTCCTTTATTGAAGGCAAAACAGAAAACAAGAAAGCTTCCTAGTGTCTTAGGTATTGCCTTATGCCCTCCTTGCTTCATTGACACTTTTCTTCTTACTCTCTGGGAAACAAACAGAGCTGCTGCTGACATCCTTATCCTCACAAAGAGCTAGGAACAGCTGAATTCCTGTTTTTTCAGATGATGGAGAACTGTGACAGTGAATTAAAAGCAACGGATGGCACAGAAGAAGAGATGGAAACATGTGCTGGAGAAGAAGATATTGTCATGCACAGCCCRGAGAAGGGCATCTGCACAGAGACCAGCTTGGCTCAGCCTGGAGAACCGCAAATACCAGAGCCTAAACCAGGTGCTTATCTTCAAGCTCTTTAGTGTAGTTTATGTGGTACTGCTGGGGCCTCGTGTTTACTTTCCAAATGTTACAGTATTCTAGGTATTAACATTTGAAAAACCTGTCATTAGTGTAGCTTTGTTTAATCTAGCTATGGGTATAGGTAGCACAATTTAGCATTAGGTAGTGTTACTTGTATGCTGTGCACATTAGCAAAAATGCCCCTCGGATTTTTTTCCATGTAGTTTCCCTCTCTGGAAGTAAATGCAGCCAGTTTTGTTTTTCTTTTGTAACTGCAAAAGAAAGTATGACCTTTTCCAGCTTTAGCAGCAACAGGCTAATTCTGAAAAATACTGCAATATTTTTCTTTTTCAGATGCTTTGTGCGGTGATTTGATGTGCACTGATAGAAATCCTTTTGATGTGGTAAGCTGCCCATTGTGTTTGACTAACTCCTTTCCCTTGTAGTACTGTTAACCTTTCCTGCAGAATTAATCATTACATGGGAAGAATTAAATGCTGTAAGATGATGTTATCAAGCCAGTCCATAAAACTTAGGCTAATGAACACAGCCCATGATTCTTGCCTCCCTGTTCTGGCTCAGGGACTGTTCCTTGTTGTGTGTTYCGAGTGCAGGATGAATTGAGACATTTTATAAAAAAAAAAAAAGAATATGTCTGATTCTCATCAGGTTGTTCCTTTAAATTATATTCTTTGTGGATTTTCATGTAAATATTTATTAACGTAATCTAGATGTCTGACTTGACTGGTCTTTTGCATCCACTTTCTTAAAGGAGTTTCCCCAGTCTGTTGCATCTCTTGATTTTATAGTTTTATCTGAGAGCTGGAAGATTCAACAGGGAAAAGGTGTCCAAAGACTTTGGAAACCATTTAAAGAGTTTGAGTATCCAATTTCCCCAGTCTTTTATGAAAAATCCATTCTAAAATAGGAATTACTACTTCATGTATTGAGTGTTTTTTAGAACATTACACTAGCAGCTCTTGTTGCACATAARCCAGCATATTGTTTCATCCACTAAACTGCTGAAGGTTTAAGGAACACCTTTTGGATCCACCTGACAAATTTTGCTTTGCCTTAATCTTGCTTATTCTGAAACTAATGTGTCCAAAATATTGAATAAGATGCAGCAGAATTGCTTAACTCTGTTCCTTTGTCAAAAATGTTTTCTGCTATTGTTATCCTGTGATTTCTCTGGCCTCTCAAGTATGCAGTAATCTACCATACATAAGCAGTGGCCTCACAGTAATTACTACTTGTTTGGTGTTTATACACACAGAGAAAGGGGAATTTGCTATGTGCTTATCTTGTGTTCTTGTAGGGCTGTGTTTTGCAGATTGGTAACTGTTCCTTGAACACTTATTGCACACTTTAATTCCCCCCACAGCCCACGATGGATGAGGAGCTTCCCTTCACTCCACTCGAGAGCAAAGCCCAGAAGTTTGCAGCAGCTGAAACGTTCAGTGACCTCATTGTGTTTTCTCCCCTTTCTCCATCTGGGCAAAAATGAAGGGCAACTTGCAATTCAAAATGTGTAAATTCTTCTAAGGGAAAAAAACACAGAGGATGTCTGGGAAGCCTGAGCTGCATTCCGAGTGAATATCTGTAGTATTTTATAGCAGAACTTATTAAAATATTTTGTAACATTTTGTAGTGCAGGTTGTATTGTGCACTACTGTATAGAAAGAGCAATATATTTACTGGCTATACTGCTTCCTGCCATCATTGCATACTCTGATCTCAACCCAAAATCCTTCTATTTTTGTGTAGTTTCCTGTAATTCCTGCCTACTTCCACCTGTACTTCAGGCTTTTCTCTCTCCTGACCTTTCCTACCTCAGGAATTATTTTCATGAGCGATGGCTGCTGGGCTAACTGCCCCTGTGGCCTCTTTCTGATGGGAGGGCYGCTGCTGAGGGTCAGAACAGCCCTGGCACCTACCCCCCGTGCCCTTCCCTCTTCTCCTGCCCCCACAGGGCAGCCCTTCACCCTGGGGCTCTGGTATTTCGGTGCCCTAACTGCTTCATCAGCAGCTCGGAGGAGCTTTGCTGCTTTTATTGCTTTCGTGTTGAAGTGGTGACAACCACTTGTTCTGCAACAGTGGAAGCAATTTGAGGAAGCGGATTCCCAAGTTGGATAATATTTTCCCTGCTCTATATTAAATAGGATGTGTGGATGGGGTTTTTTGTCTTATTTTTGGTTTTTTTTTTTTTTGACAGGTTACCTATGACCTTAAGTACCTCCAAAGCAATTCCCATTTGCTCTCTTTCTTGGATGAAGATCCCTTAACCTCTTTCCTTGAAACTTTGACACATTACTCCCTCTCCCTGCAGCTTCTCCCTCAGACCTTCTCTCCTCTGGACTAACACATTCACATCTAGGGAATGTGCAAGTTATTAAATATAAAGAATAAGTTGATTGCCTTCAGCTGTGACACTCTTCAGGAATACCTGCCTGGGCAGCTTCTTGCAATGCAGACCTGGATGTAATGCACGTTCTCCCCTCTAGCCTGTGTTTTAAAGCAGGTGAAGGCAACGCAGGCCCCTCAGCCTGCAATCCTGCACCGTGGAGAGGGCTGTTGCTGCGGCGGGGACACTTGTGTGAGCGAAGGTTTAAGCTGTGCATGTGTTCCAGCGAAATAAAACAGTGTGTTACTGTGCTGGAGTCAGCTGCCCTAGCAGGGCGCTCGTCTGGCCCTCTGCCCCTGCAGGAAGCGCCAACACTGCGCTGCTTGTGGCGTGGCAGCTCCACCTCTCAATGGAGCGACTGTTACGTGGAGGGGATGCCGTGAGTCAAGGATCCTCGGGAACGTCTGCAGCGCCTCATTGCACCACTCTGCTTTTGCAGCCGTGACTCGATCAGCACCGCCAGGAACCTCCTTTAATTGCTGCTCTGAGTCATGAGCAGARCTCGCCCGTAACCCTGCTCCCCACCCAGCCTCAAACCCGTCTGGGCCGTGGGGCCTGTGGCCCCTTCCAGGGCCGTGTGTGACACGGAGCCCAGCGGGGCCCTTCTGCGAGGACAGGGAGCTCAGGGCGCTGGGCTCGGCCGCAGCAGAGGGGGCCTTGGAGAGCAGTGACTTTCTTACGGTTTTGGAACCCAGTCCTGAAGTACCTCAGCCTGGTGGGGCTCAGAGGCTGCTCCAGTGTTCCCTGTTCTCASCATTTCCTTGTAGACAACATCCCTCGGCTGATGTTTCTGACACCCAGCCCCTTCCTGCTCTCCTGGGGTCTCCTTCCCCAGTCTTCTCTCTTTCCTTCCATAGCCAGGGAATCACAGAAGTTCCTCTGCTCAGGGGAGCACTGAAACCACCCACTCTCTGCTAGGCCCTGCTCAGGATTTCTGCTCTACCCCTCCTGGGGCCACTATCCCCACAGCCCAGACCGTGGTCCCTGGTACTTCCCTCCTTATGGACCAGAACATCCCTTACCTGCTGGCACGAGTGCCTCATTCTCTACCACAAAGACTGACACTTTCACGGGTGACCTTGGAGATCATCTTTTGCTATCTTACAGAAATCAAATTTACTTCCAGMGCATATTGTGATTACATGTAGTAAAAGCATTGACGGGAGAAGGCACTTCTGTCTCAGCCTTACTGTAAAGGTGCGAGCGAGGAGGCCGCCGCGGCGGGAGCGACGGCCCCGGCTAGATCATGGTGGGCAGGACGCTGGTGAGGGTGATGTCCCCGGCGATGCAGAGCGTGCTGACCTCGCCCAGCCTCTTGTCGCGGTGGTTGTACTGCAGCAGGTGCGCGTCRTTGACGGCCACCTTGAAGTGATCCGCCTCGCAGAGCACCTGCAGCTGCAGCGGGAGCCCCGCGTCAGCCGAGCCCGGTGCCGCCCCGGCTGTCGCAGCGGGTTTCGGAGCCCAGAGCTGGTGCCAGACGGGGCTACGAGCTGCAGCAGCAACCCTTGCAAAAACACGGGGGCYCTTTGCCTCCCCCAAAGCCCTCATCTGCTCCTCTTCATCACCAGTTTAGCAAAGCATCTCCCGTGTTGGGTTTCCAGATGGTGCCACCCTGCGTTTCAGGTACCCAAGAGCTGCCTTCAGCCCCRCGCAGCCCCGTCCTGCAGGGACGGGAGAAGGAGCCGTGCTCTGCCAAGGGCTGTCCCCACTGACCTGAGGGTGACTTACCGAGCTAAAGTACCTCCTGCGACTCCGYTTAGGCCGCGGAAAGGGGGAGAATTTAAAAATAAACAGTGAGAAATTACAGAAACTAGATTACAGGAATCTCAGGCATCTCCCTTCTAAGCAGAAACTGATTTACGAGGAATCCTCAGCACTGAGATCCTTAAAGCTGCTGCTCATCTCGTCACACAGCCCTGGCCACGGGACCCCCCCAGCGCACGGTGCGGGTGCTGCTGGCTCCTCAATGTGTTGGTGCCACCAGGATGGATCTGGAGGCGGATTACTTACTGCTCGGCAGAAACGCATCCCTTGGCCACAAGAAGCTGGCAGCCCCAGGGCATTAACCCCATTTACTGGCAGCACCCGCGGCCTCGGGGCCTCCCTTTGCACCTGCCTTGAAGGGCTTCCCRGCCTCGAAGGGGAACCTGGGCGCCGCCCTCTCCTCCTTGCCCCAGCTGTTGTGGAACATGGAGTTACACACGATGACCTTCCTGCCGCCCTCGCTGAAGCGCGGGTTGAAGTGGAAGACGATGTCGTGGCCCTTCTTGAAGTCCAGCGAGAACCTGGGGGCGAGAGCGTCAGCCCCGCGTCAGCCCCACAYCTACCCCACGCCAGCCCCGCATCAGTGTCAGCCCCAGGTTAGCCCCGTGCCAGCCCCACGTTAGCCCCATTTCAGCCTTGTGTCAGCTCCACATCAGCCCCGTATTAGCCCTGTGTCAGTCCCGTGTCAGTCCTACGTCAGTCCCATGTTAGCCCTGCATCAGCCCCAGGTTAGCCCAGTTCAGTCCCACCTTAGTCCTGTGTCACTCCCACATCAGCCCCATGTTAGCCCTGTTTTAGCTCTGTGTTAGCCCCACATCAGCCCCGCGTCAGCCCCACATCAGGCCCACATCAGCCCCCACCGGCCCCACGCTCGTCCGCGGGCCTCGCCGGGCACCTGGTGGCCGTGGGGCTCACGGTGCCCGTGATGGTGATGAGCATCCGCGGCGCGAGGCCGCCGGGCAGCGGCAGGTCGAAGGGGACCCTCTGCGGGCAGAGCGGCCGTTAGCGGGAGCGCGGCGGCCCCGCGTGTCCCGCGCCCCCGGCGCGCGGCGTTACCATCGGCGCTCCCTGCGGAGCCGGCAGCCCGAAGCCGGGGCCGCTCAGCGGCTGCGCCGGAGCGGGAAAGGGCCCTGGCGCTCCAGGGAAGCCTCCGGCGAATGGTCCCGGTCCTGGTGCTGCCGGCGCCCCAGGATACGGCCCCGGCGGGCGCGCGTAGGGCCCGGGGAATCCCGGGAAGGCTCCGGGGGCCGGCGGCTGGGAGCCCCAGGCGGCGGGGGCGGCTGGCCAGCCCTGGCCCGGCGGGGCGCTGGGGTTCGGGTTGTTCCCGCCCGGCAGGGCGTCCGCGAGCTGCACGGACACGGCACAGAGCAGAAGCGTTAGCAAAGGGATGGGACCCAGCGGAGCCGGGTCGTTCGGCACGGATGGAAAGGGCCCGGGAGCAGGGAAAGCTGGATGGGACACGTGCGCTCCTCTAGTGACATGCAGGGAAGCGGCCGTTCCCAGCAGCCCCAGGTCCCTTTGGGAGCGGGATGCTCTGACCCAAAGTCCCTGCTGGTCCCGCAGGCTCTGGGATAGGGTCACCCGGGCACGGAGTGGCCTGCGGGATGGGGATGGGGAGGGATTTGTGGGAAGTGCCGGCGCCTCTTGCAGAGCCGGGTGGGTAACACGAGAATAACACAAGGGCACTTACCGAGAACCCGTCTGCCATGTTCCTAGGGGAAGAGAGGGGGGCAGGTCAGGTCGGTCCCCAAGGGACGCGGCCAGGCCGCCAGATCCTTCCTCCCCACCGCGAGCACGGGGGCAGCGCCCGGGACACGGGACCAGGACACGGTCCCGGGATACAGGACCAGGACACGGTCCCAGTCCCCCGGCCCCCCGCGGCTGCCCCACGCTCCCCGCTCACCCCGCGCTCCGCTCCGCTCCGCTCCGCCAGGCTGCTCCGCTCCCGCCCGGCTCCGGCGCCGCCCCCGCGGCCTCCCCGCCCGCGGCCTCCCCGCCCGCGGCCTCGCCCGCCGTTACTCACGCCATTTACCCGCTTCTTCCTCCCCCCGCTTGTTTTTATCCCCGCTTATAAAAGCCAAGGGAGGCGCAAGGGCGAGGGGGCAGCGGGAGTTTTCGGCCACACGCGGGTCCCCGAGGCAGCCTCGGTGAAAACAGTGCGAGCGGGTGCTGAAGYTGGAGCCCGCGGCGCGCTTGGTGCCGACACAATACGTTATGTTTATGTTTATGGTATGTTTATGGCCCCGCTCGGGCAGTGTCACCTCCCTGTGGCCCGGGGCGGCCGCCGTCTCCCCGTGAGGTAAAAGCTGCCCTTCCAGTTCCCCGGGGAAGGCCGGGGCAGGCAGCGAGGCCGAGGGGAGGCGGCGGCGGCGCCAGAGCCGCAAGGACACAACGGGCCGGGAGCTGGGGCTGCCCGGCATGGAGAAGGGAGGCCGAGGGGGGAACTCATCAGTGTCTGTAGACACCTCAAAGGAGGCAGTGAGGAGGAGGGGAGGCCTCTTCGCAGTGGTGGCCACCGACAGGACTAGAGGAAACAGCCACAAACTGAGGCACCAAAAGTTCCACAGGAACTTAAGGAAAAATTTCTGACAGTGGCGGTGCCCGAGCCCTGGCGCAGGCTGCCCAGAGAGGCTGGGGAGGCTCCTGCTCTGGAGATCTTCCCAACCCACTCGGACGCAGCCTGTGCCCCGTGCTCTGGGTGACCCTGCATGTGCAGGGGGTTGGACTGGACGATCTCCAGAGATCCCTTCCAACCTCAGCCATCCTGTGAGTCTCTGAACCCCACGTCCCCAGCCGCACCAGGAAGGGCAAGGATGCCCGCCCGGTTGGAGCCCCAATGCGATGACTGTTGCGCGGCCGCCTGTTGCCAAGCTCTTTAAGGAAAAATATCCGGCACAGCCGCACTGTCCCTGGCAGCYACACCGGCGCGATGCTCACACCCCACCGCGGCCGCAAGAGAAGCAGRCGGGGACCCGAGTGACTCATTCTGCCCTTCATTAGGGACGGGTGACACGCCGTCACGCGGTTCCGCTGCCCGCTGAGGGTGAGCTCCGTGTAGTCTCCTCGGGGGAGTGTTTCGGGATGAGCTTCTGCCCCGAGCAGGGCAACCCAGGAGCCCCCGGCCCAGCTCGCGGTCCCCTCTKGCTCTGCCTCCCTCAGCAGGGCACTGTGTCGGGCCACGTTGAACCAGCTGGGAGGAATTACCTGGCTGAAAAACAACCCAGAAGACAGAGCMGGAGACTCGGAGCCAACATCCAAGGAAAATTCAGGGGCGGAGAGCACAGCTTGATGCAGAGCGTGAGGACCAGGTGCTATTTATGAAAYAAGAAACTCCCCTCGTCTCTTCTGCAGGAAGATGCACTTGCAAGAGCAGGTAGGAGCCCTCATGGTCAGCACAATCCCACCTGACATTCCATCCATGAGCATCTTAGAAAGGAAATCCAGGGATTTCTATTTTACTTCTCCACTGTCTCCTTTAACTAAAACACAACCTTTTAAAAAGCGACGCCCCCCAACTGGCTGTGTTTGAATTGCTGCAGTCTTCCCTCTTTCACTTAAACTAGACATATTCTATGAGCCTTTTACACCCCACGGCCTCAGCTCAGGCTTTAAGAGGGTTTTGCTGCAAAAGGCTGCAGCAAGTGAAGGAGAAACATCTTAACGCGCTGCTGGCCAAACACAGAGGCTACAGACGGGCAAGGGGGAGGTTTAAGTATTAGATAAAGTCATAGAATCACAGAATCCTCAAGGTTGGAAGGGACCTCTAGAGGTCATCCTCTAGTCAACTCAAATTCAACTGAATTACAGGGGTAGAGGACGATTGATAGACGATTCCTCCTCTGCTACAGCCACCTTGGAAAAGTAATTTGGAAAAGTGGGTTCAGAGCAGGCGGTTAAATATCTCGTTTCCCGTCTAGCCCTCGTTCCCCACACCAGGAGCTTCAACCATGCGGATCACGAGCTGCAGACGCACCAGATCCTCCCGGGTTGGGTGCAGAGCAGCCTCGGGGCGCTCGGCCTCGCCAGCGGTCACAGCAGGACCCTCCTGGGCTGGAACCYGCTGGCCTCCTTCTCCAGGGAGCTTGGGGCTCACTTTCCACCCTCATGTACTATCGGCGCCTTTACCCTTGCAGGAGGCGCTGATTGATTACAAGTGTGCATTAAAAGCTGGAATTAGCACATCTTAATTTGCTGGATCACACCCAGAACACGGCCACACCGTGGGACACACTGAGCTCTGTAAATTCGCTGCCTTTTTTTCCAAACTGGGAATTTCCTYAAGAATGATGTAGCTAAATAGAATGTGTCTGAGCAAACGGCCTGGTTAAAGCTCTTGGGGGCTGCAGGGTGGGGAGAAATCAATRTTCTGGAGCCAACACCTCCCGACACCCGAGGCGGCCTGGAGGTGCGGACAGCCCCACTGCTAGACACGACCCAGCGCGCTGGCCACGCAGTAAACGCAGCCTTAAAGCGGTGCCTTGCAGACACGGTCCTAAATACGTTTTTCCCTAAGCCTTGGGTTGATATAAGATTTTTTGTGCTTCCCCGTTACACTTTACTGCAATCCCGGCTTTCCCCAAAGGGGGAAGGCTGGGACAGAGGTGAGCAGCGCTGGCCAGCGCCGCGCGTCCCCTTCTGCAGGGCCAGTGAAATGTTTGTTGACCCAGGATATGAATACAGACACAGGGGTGCTCAGACTTCCCAACTGGGGCCTGCTTTCAGTTCCTCTCATTCCTCAGTCCTCGTTCCTCACAAACTGTTATCCAGCAAGCTTTTAACTGGAATAACCACATAAAAACACTGACCTGCGGGTCAATCTAGTATAGGAATTGCCATGGAGAAGAGGGAACCAAACCAAACCAATCCTACACCCCACTTCCCCTTCCAAAATAAGCCCYGTTCCTCCTCAGCGAGGGCCAGGGCGCCGGCGTCGCATCCGCGCCGAGGCGGAGGCTGCGGGAGTCACAAAAGGAAGCGGAGAAACACTCAGAGCAGTCAAATAATTCTGGTTTTATATTCAGGCTTTGCAAATCAAGGATGTCCTACTTTCACTGTTCATTCAAGGCAAAAGTCTACACAAGCATGTCAAAAGCAGTAATTGAAAAACAGTAAACACCAGTCTTGAAAATACGTTTAATGTCTAATCTTATACAAAAGTGACAGCATTTTCAAAAAAATATCAAATCCTGTATTTATAGCTTCTCACTATCATACAGCAATATTTGTTTCATCTAAAGAAAATACAGCAGCAGGTGATAATCTATACTTTAAAGATGTGATTGCTTATATCTCATATTGTAAACAAACGCGGTATGTCAATCTCAAAGCACAAGTCAAAACAGACTTCTCAGCAGTTTAACTCAAAGGATGCATAGAAATGTACAGATTCCATCGCGAAAGCTTCAGGCCAGGAGCTGCTCACACTTGACATAACATGTGATAAAGTTACTACACGGCATATAGTGACAACTGGAGGTTTTACACAATAGATTAACAGGAATACCCTTTTCACTGCTAGGCAAAGAACTTGGCTCACAAAAACGAAGGGGTTATGAAACAGTTCTCATGACCTCAAGAGATACGAATATACATTGAAAAAACATCCCATATATATTGAATTTTAGCCTAACCGTTCCAGTAATAAATCCCGCCTATTTCAGGAAGAACCTAGAAGTCTAGTTACAAATCCCCTTTCCAAAATTCATTTTTTTGCTGTGTCCACCCTACCCTCTTCTACCTCTTYCCATTCCCTGCAAAGACGACGACCAGTGCAATTTCAGACTGGAACTCTGCGACTACATGATCCGTTCCTTTGAAATACGTTTTTCCATCACACTGACTTCTCTMCTAAGGCTGCAGGTATCAAAAAACCAAAGAAGCACTTGAGCAGATGTGGCCGGTGTCTATCACGTTTGTTATTATCAGTCTTGCCAAGATCTAAGCCGAGCCTGTGGTCTGGGAGGAGGGGACCTTGCTCGAGGTTCATGAAGACTTCGTGTTTACCAGGTTCTGATTTCTAGGGGCACAAACATCAGGATTTAAGCTGAGGTGCTAAATTTTCTTTGTTCAGCTCTGCTCTTGCCTTCCTAACACAAAAAGTGCCTTTTTACTATCAGTTTTCATGACAACAGGTTAAAACGGCCAGATGTTYTAATGTTTAAGAACAGATTAAAACTTTCTGCTGCAAGAGAATATATATATTGCAGGACTTTGCCCCAAAGGCCAAGACAAGCATCGCCAGCAGGTCACCCCTCTTGTTTTAGGAAGCCCCTACTACGCACGGGGGCAGCCGTGATAAGATGTAGGAAGAGAATTAACTCCCTTTTCACAGTTCGTGATACGAGGATTCCCCGGGGAGCTACCACGCTCAGTGAAGTTGCTCACTCTACCTACAAGGCCATCCTCAGCTGAGGATAAAATAAACTCTGCACGGTCGAAGCCCATGCTCCAACGTCCCGCAGAGACCTCCGCATGTCCCGGAGAGGCAAAGCCCGCATTGCAACAACCCCCTGACGCGCTCTTGGCACAGATGTGGCAACAACAGGGAAACGGTGGCCCTGGAGAAGAGGGGCCGACCCGCCGTGGCACTGACCCAGCCTGCCGGGTGTGCGACACGGCGCCGACTGTCGCTTGTCCACGCGACCACATCCAGCGGAGCCCCACGGAGCCCGGCTCCTTCCCCACTGCGGAGCCAAAGCAGCTTTGCAGCCCACAGGACTAAAGGCAAGTCCCAAAGTCTGCGGGGAAGGGAACCCACAGACTTAATTTTCTTTTGCTTTTTTTTTTCCTAAAAAGCTCTTTGAAGCTCAAGTTCAGTTTCCAGGGACTCTGCGAGCTTGCCGAGTTTACCCCACCCAGCAGCAAAGTCCGATTTTCACTGACTAGAATCCAGGTTAGAAATAGGGAAGTACCTTCCTTACGTGGGAATCAGTTTTTCYTTACACAGACCAAGGCAAACTTCCAACCACCACGGAATGAGAACTCGCAAAATGAGGCCCTCATTTGCATGCATAAAACTCACATTTGTTGATTCAAAGTTAACTGCACATCCAGGTATTTTATTTGCACATAAACGCCTGTTTGTGAATGCAAACGGGGTGCAGACAGGTCAGACCAAGTATTTCACTGCGCATCTTCTCTGCTGTAGTCCCAGACTGAGCAATTGGTTTRCGTATGTACAAAAATGCTGAGAAAACCTTCAAGTTTGCATGTTCCGTCTCTTTAGTTTGAATTACTGTAGCATGGTCAAAAAATTACATTTCTTGACAAGAATCTTGAAATACACTTTTTATTGACATTTTCGAATAACCTGAAAATAGACAAAATATGACTATCCATCCACCCAGTGACCAGCACAAGTCTGGCAACAAAACGTAAAGCATTCATGGCAGTTTAAGCATTAATGATTTGTATGTCCTTGGGCCCRATTTTCTTTTCTTTTTTAAACAATCCTTACTTGGCAATTCCCATTTTTTTTCAAAGGGGAATACTTGCCAACGTAAGAATCACTGGTTTCAGTTGTATTTCTGCTCTTCATAATTCACTTTACTAAACAAACAATTATGCCAGCATATGAGCAAGTTAAAGTTATGCAAATTGCTCCTTCATACCTTAAATGCACATACAAGAGGCAAGTGTTCTTCACAGCCCCAAACATTACTGAAACAAAAATTGTAAAAATCTCTAAGTAGTGGATGAAGGTGGAAAGCTACAGTACTTTGTTGCCCAGAATGTATTCAACGGTAAGGCTGCAAGAGACAATAATCCACAGTCAATATTTCGTGTTTACACAAAGCAGTTAATTCACAGTTACAGGCATTCTTAATAAAACTAATTCATCCTTTCTCAATGGGTCATTCCCTTCCTATGCCCTGGAAGGGAACTCTATGCTGCAGAGATGAGAATATTTTCTAGTTCAGAGATTACTAGAAGCCCTTTTCACACCAACACACACCCCCTTTTTCTTGCAGTTCAGAGATGCCTTTCAAACTAGYGGGAGGCTGCTGCAGTGTAATGTTGGACACACTCACATTTGATGTAACTTGGTATATTTAAGCATTTGAGTGGAAAATTTCCTAGCCTACCGCTGACTACACAAGTAACAGATGGGCTGGAAGTCCTTACCTGCTGTAATGGGTCTTATACTACTGAGCTCCCACACTTTAAACGCGTAACATTTTAGAAAAACTTGAGGCAAATTAAATACTCACATGGGGACCACCAGGCATTGACGGAGCACCAGCAGGACCAGATGGCACTTGAAAAGGATTAGGGGGCGTAGGATATAGTCCCGGAGCTGGGTATGATCCTGTGGGCGGAGGAAACGGACCCGGTGGCGAAGGTCCCCACGTTCCAGGTGGGACTGTGCCCCACGGCACTGTCGGCGCGGCCCCTGGAGTCTGGGTGGGAGTGGAATATGGCCCTGGGGGTGGATATGGCATGCTGGGCGCCGGATACTGCCCTCCCATGGTTGGTCCCCACGCTCCGGAGGGCATGGATCCCCACGGCCCGACGGGAGCYGGAGGCGCAGCTGGCTCCGTCGGAGCACCGTAAGGTCGCGGAAGCTCTGGAAAGGGCATGTTTGGCGGCGGATACTGCCCCGGCGGGACAGGGCCCGGCACGGCTGGGGGCGGATATGGAGCACCAGGAGGAGGGCAGGAGGGTCCAGTAGGAGGAGGAGGAAATGGAGCAGGCGGTCCGGGGGGCATTGAAGGATACATTCCTGTCGGCGGCGGCCCGAAGGGCACGCTGGAAGCGGAGGTGCTGGGGGGCAGTCCAGAGGGCCCGGGAGGAGGAGCGCTCGGGTTATTCCAAGGATTTGAAGCAGGCCAGCCCTGGGGCGGCTGGCCAGGCTGCTGGCCGGGCTTCGTACTGCTCACTTTGGAGGTTTTAGCAGGTGACTGGTCGGGCAAAGCATCTGCCAGCTGGAAGACAAAGCAGCAGCRAGAGGGTGAGCGGCGCTTGCCGGCTGCACGTGCACCCACTGCACTGGTTACCACTACCAAAAGAGGAGGAAAAACCACTAACTGTTAACGCACACAAAGAGGATGACATTTGCTTTTGTGCAGCTTCTGCCATTAGAAGAGATTCTGACGTGCTGCAGATATCAAGCCAAAGATAAAAGGTGACCTACCACACAGCTAAAAATGTGTGCGCAGATCCAAAGGAAATATTTCTACATGAAAATAGGACTTCTGTGCTCTGTTGATGTCRAAGCAGAAAAGAAGCTCCAGGGCTCCTGGCAGCTTCATAAATGCARCCCACAGACTACCCAAAACTCCACTATGGAACAGCTGGTTAACTTCAAGCCCCACTCCTTGGAAAAGTGTGTCAACTTCTAGGACACAGTAACACAACTAACATCTTCAGGAAAGCAGAATCGTTACTTACCGAGAAATCATCRGCTCCAGACATTGTGCTGAAAAATAAGGTAAAATAAAGTGAACTTCACTGAAAATAATTATTCTGAGCAAGAACTCCGCAGACAAACTCCATAGTTGCTTCACCCAAACCATAACAAATGCCTGGCTGGGTGCACCTTTCAGCAATCATCGTTTTAGTGCTTTGGGCACATGCAGACGTGAGCTACCTGAATACCTTCCTTCTGATACAGGTCTTACAAAAGTCAAAACTTCAGCCTCTTCCTCACCTTACCCAGCATGTAAATGCGTCACAAAGTAAAGACAACAAAACAGAACAAACATACTTCAAATACTCATACCAAGGAGGCAGCCTGCCCTGACAGTGATGGCTCTGAAGGATCTAAGTTCTTCCCTAAGCTCACACTGGGGAAAGTTAAGACAAACTTCCTGCAAGCAAAGCTGATGCACCTAAGAGAAAACACRTTTAAACCTTCATGCAGAGGCTCTTTCATAAGCAAAAAAGCCACAGTTTGGTGAAGCTTCATTCTCCAAGGCACTGGAGAATGATGTTYGGGGAGAGGATTAATAAGAACCTAAGTTTAAAGAGGCAGAAGATTACTTTTAAAATTAACAGTGACTAGTTGGAAATAACAAGAACACGGCACCTAATATTCACTTGTTCCAATATTCAAGCACTCGAAGCTCAGAGATTCCTAAGCTGCAGGCAGTTTCTCTGTATTTAATCACTCTCAATTGATTTCTTTCCCACAAACAGATCCCATTTCCCTCTTACACCCACATCCTTCAGTGAGGAACCCCACACTGCTCTTAGCTACCACCCCAAAGCACCAGCTCTGGTTTTGCTCTACGCTGAGATCTTACTAGCTTCATTTGATGCTCCTTTATTCCTGCATGTGAGGAAAACCATCAGCCTGTTCTTCTCCATCTCCCCATGCCACTGACTCGGGGATGATACTGAACGTACATCACATTTTAGCTGCTCCTTCTGCAGGCTGAGACCCTGCTCGCTTCACTGGCCACACCGCTGGATGTCCTCACTGCTTCGCTTTGAGGCTCTTCCAATTCTACTGAATCTTTCAAGATGAACAGACAAGAGCCACACAGAAAATTCAAAAAGGGGAGAGCCTCTGATTTAGACCACTCGTGATTACATTCTGGTTTGTCTTCTATTTCCTTTCAAATACTCCTTAACATTTGATCTGCTTTTGATCACTACTGAACTGACTCTTGCAGAATTATTTCATTCCTTAATTTAAGGGCCAATCTATCCCTTTGTATAAGAAATTGTACGTTTATCTACTCTGAATTACGTCTCATTTATCTACATTGAATTATGTCTTCTGTTTTATTACCTGTCTATACTTTCCTGATTGGCTTCATATCAGCAAGACAYTGCACATCTGCACTACCCAGTTTTTTATGACCACCCCGAATAGCCCTAATCCCAGGGGAAATACACTGAATTTCCCAGCTGGCATTTACAACTTGGATAAACCTTTTAAGAAACATGAATCTACTCCCAAAGGTCCAACAAAATCACTGCCATGGCAGAGCTCAATGCATGAAACTTCTGTTTCGTTAAGTCTCCCTCGTCAGCTTGAAACAGCAGCAGTTGCTTCTAATCAGCACAGATATCCAAGTCCTTGCACTACAGCAGATCAAGAGCTATTTGTTTGAAGCTGAGAAAGCAACCAAACTAGAGCAAAAAAAGCCTGTTTTCTGCTCCTAGCACCAAGGGCTCTGCTGTTTGGGAGACCTCAACGAGGGAGGAAAAAGCCCAGTTTTCCCCCAGCAGATAACTACTGAAAGCAGCTCRTTAGTTTCTGAAATGAGCCATGCCCAGCTGTGATCAGCAGCTGAGACCCTGCTTTCTAGTGGCCTTGCAGCAACACAAAAGCCGTTTTAAATATACCACAAAATGGACTAAGCATTAGAAAGACAATTAYAAAAATCTTTTTACATAAACATGCATGTAGATGTAGCCACAGGCAAAAAAAAAAAAAGTTAGCAAAATGCAATACCAAAACGGGCAAAGAGAAACATCCTTTCTTTATGCAGATGGAGTTGAGAGAAGACCAACTGAAAACAAAACAAAAGAAACAAAAAAAAAATCCAGATCTATAGGAGATAAAAACAAAAAGCCCATAGAAGACGTTAACATATATGCAGCAAGGTAGAGAAAGAAGAAAGAGAGACAAATCTAAAAAAGAGCTCTAAAGAAAACTCAATGATCTGTGACAGAAGCGAGAGGAGTAAATTCAGGTGAAGGGTGGGGAGGATAACAGAGTTTAAACAGGCCTGCTTACAAAGTATCAACAAATATTCCTGAAATTTGTCAACAGATACATTCAAAATACTTCCTTCCTTGCCATGAAAATCATGGAAACAATTCTGTTGCATGACAACATTGGAGGAAAAATAAATGTGTAACTAAGCATAGCCTGTAATAAGGATTCTTTTTTTTTTTAATTTGGCAAGCGGACTAGAGCAACATTTGGCATAACTGAGCGAATGCCAACCATGTCAAGGAGCCTCTTGCAGACAGAATGGTCTACTTTGGGGACATCTTTTAACATACATCTAACATTTACGTGCTGCCATTTTCATTCCATAAGAAAATTTAATGTACTGTTAGGTGCATTAAGGCACCAGAAGAACCAATTTGTGCTTAAATCTAAAGGCATATGCCACGCAACTTGCTAAGCACTGGTACAAAGATTTTCAGCCAAAGCCCTCCAAAAATCTCACCCAGGAATACTGACCAGACATTTACCTGCTCACAGGAACTCACCAGGGATACTGTCAGATAAAAGGCCTCTAAATTACTCTAAAGCTACCAGTCATGCAGACACTCAAAAAAAAAAAAAGTTATGTATATATAACATATATATATATATATAATATAAAAATCGTAGAACAACTCAGCCAATGGTGTGTGTTTTCTAAGGAAAGACAGAGTTAATACAAAAGGATTTTCACTTTCTCTAAGTTTCCCTATACGCTCTTCCTGAGCGTCACAAGATGAAGATAGATGGATGAGCTTTTCCCTGTACGTAAATCATCTTTACCACCTTATATTGCTACATCCAAATTCTATTCCAAATCTTTCTTTCTTTGGGAATGGGGGTGGAAAAAGGTTCAGGAGCTTCAACAACTCATCAGGGAGCTGAAAGACTATGGAATGGGGCAGCACGAAAACTGAAGCCCCACTTCCATTCCCTTTGCTGCAAGGTGAGATTTCCTCTGTGTTCTGAAGGTCACAGCCCCTGGAAACATCCTCTTTTCCTCCRTTTTCCAGGAGCACGGAGCCTGCCAGCTCCAGGGTCAGCCACCATTTCTCAGCCACCTCTGAGGAGAAAAATAAAGTCAAGCAGAAGAGAAAAAGGCCACTGCTTTCAGAAAACAGCATCTAAGAGCAAAATCTTTCTCCTTTGTTATCCTGAAGAGTGGTGAGCGGGTCAATGCAGACCTCTATTACACCTGCAGAGAGCCAATATATAGCACCAACTTTGGACAAGAGCCCATCAACTCCTGGATACCTGGGAATTACTCCTGAGAATTAATTAATAACAAGTAGCTAGGACAGATAAGCCTGTTGGGATCCACACTGCAGCAAGGCTGAAGTCCTGCTCCACCAAACGGATCATTCCCAGTTCTACCAGCAGCACTCACGACCAACTGGAACACACGGCGAATTCTAGAGGTCCACGAAAGCCCTGTTTCTTGCAGGGTGGTGCAGCTGGCAAATCCTTCAGTCGCCAAAACAAAACAGTTCAATGTTTTTTAAGGTGTAAACTCTTCCCTGATCATGTACAACCCAGCAAACAACGATGGATGCGGATTCACATGTCCTCCTGCCATCAAGCTCTAACAAGTACAGTTAGAATGAACTATTTAAAACCTTTTTTAAGTATCCTTTTGCATTGCATGACATTTCTCTTTGAACACCTGATGTGCCAAATTTAGTTCCTGTCTACAAGCTCGTCTTTCAAATACAGAAACAGGCTTTCTAAAATGCAGCCGCTCCACGGATATCAGCTGCATTCCCACTGGGTGRCTCCTCCTCTATCGCAGGAAAAGGTTTTGTCACTGTAACATGACTAATTCCCTCCCAGCACAACCTCAGCTACAACAAGATTCCTGCCCACATAAACAGAGCTACCAACACAGCTATACATATCAAATGGAAAGAGAGACCAAATCTTTGACAGCTTCTAAATGTTTCCCAAAGTATGCAAATTTCTGCAGCTTGTATCTTCAGTCATTAAACACCAACATGTTTTAGCTGCCCCTCTCTCTCCTTAACACCTTCTTGGGAGCCAAGTTCATGCTTTTGTGCACTATGATCCTTTTGACTGTTATGATAATTACAGCTGATAGAAATGAAAAGCTGCCATTAGATCATGAGCAGCTATATAGATGTGAGGGTCTTTTTGTCCCTTATCTGAAAGAAGTGCAAGAGTAGGATTTAGTTTTCACATTATTTTCAAGACAGCCTTAATTTAGAATGACAGCAGTGACATGTGTCAGTTTATTTGCTAGCGATTATCAACTCCAAGAAGAATTACCTCTCCAAAACAGAGGTCTTCAAGGGCTAAGAGCTGCCAGAAGGAATGATAGCCTGTTTCAGTAGTTTCCCATCTGTTTGTGAGGCAGAGACGGAGCTCTGTGAAACACACATCACTCCCGAGGTCCTTGCTTGCCTGCCAGCAGTGGCACAGAACAACCTCTCCCATTTAACTGCAGCTAAACTTCCTTTTGAAACCAAAGTCCATTTTCACCTTATCCCCGTTTTCAGACRCGCACCTTATTCCTGATTTCTTTACCTGTACCTTATTCCTGAAGCTTTAGCTTCCAATCCCCAAATCTTTAGAAGCCTTCCCAAACTAGCTGTAAGGGCTTTTTAAGGACTACCTGTGTGGTCCTCCAACAGCAGCTACACATTAAGCAATTAAAAGTTTGACAGCTTTTCTTTGTGGAAGGACAAATTAAGCAGTCTGACCTCGAGTACAACTATTTCACACTCTCCAA